CTGGCCAGGTGACTGACTGGCTGTATGGATGGCTGGCCAGGTGGCTGACTGGTTGTATAGATGACTGGCCAGGTGGCTGACTGGCTGTATGGATGGCTGTCTCAGGTGGCTGACGGTTGTATAGATGACTGGCTAGGTGGCTGACTGGCTGTATGGATGGCTGTCTGGTGGCTGACTGACTATATAGATGGCTGACTGGCTGTATGGATGGCTGTCTAGGTGGCTGACTGACTATATAGATGGCTGACTGGCTGTATGGATGGCTGTCTAGGTGGCTGACTGACTATATAGATGGCTGACTGGCTGTATAGATGGCTGGCCAGGTGGCTGACTGTCTATATGGATGGCTGGCTAGGAGGCTGTTAGGTTGAAAGTGAAGCGGCTATTTCGCCAGAAAATTTACATACAAATAGACCTCAGCTGCTAGATAGGCACAACTCTCGCCTATTGACCCACAAGTGTAGTGGTCGACGGTTTGAATTTCATTGCCGGCCGATAACTGGGGCGTCCAGAGTCGACCCTATTGCAGACTGGCGAGAAAGTGAAATGCCATAGAGTTCAATGACCGCCATACTGTTTCTTTACTCCCATATATTTAGTGTTTTAGTGTACAGTAATATCGACTCTTGGTCCACTCACTCGCCTCACCATCTCTCAACGATCACTTTAAGCAGCCAACACCAGCAGGACTGTATGTATGGATCAACACAAACCCATCCCAGTCACGAGGAAGCTGCCAACACACCGAACATACGAGTAATAGTCATCACTGCTATGGAAAATGACACATAACTAACGGAAAGATCAATTTACAAATCAATTTAAATTCATAAGAAACCTCTAAAACAGATTAAGGGAAATGGACACGAAAATGATACACGACAAGAATGAATAAAATTACAGTCGTGGCCAGAATTAGGCTAGGATACAGACACATTTGGCAAGTTAGTAACGCTGTACCCATACCGGAACACTCAGCATGTAAACTTTGTGATAAACCTTTAAAGCATACACTTGAACACTATATTATTGAATGTGACACTGTCAAAGACTTCAGGCCACCTGACTTATTGTATCTTGAACTATGTAATTACTTCATTGAATCAGGTGTGCTTGAGGACATTCTTGCTGTTTATCCCAAATTTGCTAGCCCACACTGATTAGTCTTCAATTAGAATATGACTCCAATGTATGTGATCCACTGACCCATATATGCTGCTGGTGAATGTGATGTATTTCCTTCTTTGTGTACGAACCTCTGTCCTGCATGGCAGTGAACAGTGGCATTACCCATATGAATCTGACCTATATATGGTGTCAATGAATATGATGCATTCTTTGTGTACGAACCTCTGTCCTGTATGGCAGTGGAAAGTGACATTACCCACATGAATCTGACCGACGTATATGTATGTGTGTGTGCGTGAGTGCATGTATATGTATATGTACTGTCAATGAATATGATGCAACTCTTTGTGTACAAACCTCTGTCCTGCATGGCAGTGAACAGTGACATTACCCATATGAATCTGACCTCTATACATTTATAGTTGTTAATGAATATGATGTATTTCTTTGTGTGTGAACCTCTGTCCTCCGTGACAGTGAGAAGTGATACCACCATCAGTGTCAAGACCTGACTGAATTACTCAGAATAGGCAAACTGTACTACAAGCTCTGCCAATAAATTTGTTAAACTAACTAAAAACAGTCAAGGGGAAGACATTGAAAAGACCCGCAGGCAGAAGTGGAAAATCAACACCACTCAGTAACTCGTATCTAAAGAAAGATGAATAATGATGCTGGGAGTAGGGTTGATGAGGCTCCTCCTGCAGGCGTGTACAGATGGTGAAGAGGAACAACAGTCACTCACAGGCTCTATAGTGACGATAGAGTGTGACAGCAATGTGATGATGACTCCCTTGGAAATAAAAAGACCACTTGAACGCCTTGATTCCTAAGACTACAACTTTATATTGACAGCGTGGAGAAAAAAATCGATATTGTAAAGCGTCTTCAGTTCTTCTTCAGATACAGATGAATATTAAATACCAAACAAACACAGTGAGGTGAAGGTGATGTTAACTGGACCATCTCATACCTCAGAAAACGTGACGTGGTATAAACATGTATTTTGTGTTGTTATTGTTCTGAGTTATGGACCTTGGGTTGGAACTCTTGTTATGGCTTGACGAGAGATTATACCTGTACTATTATTCTCAACCTTACCCGGTGTCCCGAGGTATGTTATTAAGAACTCTTGTTGAGTCGTATATAGTCAGATGAAACGCAAAATGGAAGTCTTTGATGGATAGAAACTTAGTTATAAATATACCCATGCAAATCCCGGACGTGTGTGCGTGCCAGATTTAAGGGCAGACGTACAAACACGGGTCAACAGGTGAGTGTAGTTGTTAAGAAAGATGAACAGTCGGTAAGGTGAACACTACTTGAATATTGAATCATTATTATTTAGAAAGTTGGATGTGAAGGTGTAAGCTGTGTATATTTGTAGCAAGTGTCGCCATGTGGTTTTGTTTTTGAAGTTAAAGATATTGTGTCCAATGTTTGCCAATTGGATTTCTTTTCAAGTATAGTGAATATTTATTATGTAAGCTATTTAGTGATAAGTGTGACTTTATTTTCAACTTAATCAAAATTAGTTCATAACAAGATGGTCGTTTTCATATGACATCAGGTGTTGGCATATGACGTCAGTTGTTGCCATATTACTTTGTTTTCAAATTAATGTTTACAGAAAAGATGGGTGTTGGTCTTTAAGGGGGTGAACTTTGTTATCTGATATTATTTATTGCACATCTTAATTAGAACAACAGTAAGATGGAGGCTACGTCTGTAATATCGTATTTCCGGGTATTTACAAAAACTAGGCGGCCTTTTTTGCCTCCCATTAGAGCACTGTTTTGCCCTTGAAGCTTGTGGCTTAACATTATATTCAAACCGCAATTAGACACTACTTTTAACCTGAACAAGATGTAGCACTTTCTTAAGAGATCTACTGGACACACACACACACACTCTCATGACAACATCTGCTAACGAGTTACTGCACTGCTTGTTTGCTGTTCAATGCCTCAGTACACCTGGCCTACTTGACTTCACACAGAAGGGCCTAAGACCAGTCCCTGCCATCCACTCTTAATAATAACTTGTATGTTCACTTCAAGTTCCTTTTCCTTGCTGTAATGATCGCTTTTGTTAAACGACTCCTCCCACTCCCCAGGTCACTGAATGCAATAAGTCATTTCTGTCCAATGTATATTTTCAACCTTTTACCTGATGTATCCTATTAAATAACCGGTACTTATTATTATTACGCACACACACACACACACACACACACACTTCACTTCACTTCGCTCTCTATTCAAAGTTACAGTCAATAGTATGTTTCCTTAACAAGATGGCGTCAGAGTGGTTGTGTGACTGGAGTTTATTTAAAGCATGACTGGACATTAATGAGCGTGGTAGGCAACCTGCCAGACCTCTTTGTAAGTCGTTAATGGCAGTTGGCACATGTGATATTTGACACTTTGACACTTTGAATGCTTGATATTTGTGACACTTGACACTTGCGGCATTACATTTAACACTTAACATTTGTGACACTTAATACTTGCTGCGAGTTAACGCTTATGACATATATGGCACTTAATGCACTTGTAACTTCTGACATGAGACACTTGAGGCAATTGATACTTGTGATGACTTTTCTGGCACTTGACACTTATGACACTGTTTTGTAATTAATTCAGTTTATATATTTTAATTTAGGAGTTTGTTTGGCTGGCTAAAATGTGATGATTTTCTTAAGAATTTGCCGCCTGTAGTGTTGAGACTTCTATCAAGGTTATTTGAGAAGAGCGTTGGCAACACTGACTGTTATTATTGTTTTCTTGTTATTATTTCTTATTGTTGTCATCATTAATATCATCAGCACCACCAAACATAATCATCCTCAGTGTCATCACCACCACCACCACCAAAGTCCTCATCATCATCTTTATCATTACAATATCACCATCAATCACCATCGTCATCACCACCATCATCACTAGAGAGAAGAACGTCTCACTTACCAACTCAGACTTACTTATAAAGTCAATACACCTTAAATTATGTATGATGTTTAACTCACTGTACACCTGGTGAGGGCCTCGCAGCAGGTAGTGTAGGCAGGTTAAATTGGGGTAGGTTAAGTTAGGTTAGGGTAGGTTGGGGTATGTTAGGTTAGGTAAGGTTTGCTTTAGGTAGATTATTTAAATGTTTTCAAAATAATACTGAATCGTAAGTCAAATCCTAATGCCATTTTTTTTAAGAAATTGAATAATTTGTTGAGTTTGTGTTGTGTGGTACTACGTTGTTCATAGACTGGCTGTGAAATTATATATAATGATTTGTCTATCACCTGAAGATTAGACACCCCTGTTAATATCACCTGATGATTAAACACCCTAACACCAACCTAACCTAGCCTAACTTAACCAAAAATACGCTAACCAAGCATAACCTTAACTAAGCCACCCTAACCTAACTCTAACCTAACCTAACTCCCCTAGGTGGCATGGTGATGCATAGATGTAAGAGTTAGATTAACGACTTAGGTTTACCTGTCCACCAGACCTACTGTAGCTGTCCCAGGTCGACGCTGACCTCTTTATGTTGACTTCCACTCCCACCTCAACCTTCCTTCCTTCCTGTCGCCCCTCACAACTATGTTACACACACACACACACACCCACACTAGTACGCACACACTAACACTTAAGCACACACATACTCCCCTGTGGTGCTGGGTTTCGCGGGAGCAGCGTCAGATCAATGGTTCGATATCTACCTCCCAGCCGACAAAGATGGCAGGTGGTTGATTGTGTAATAATAAATAAAACATCAGAGCGGATAGAATTCACGATGTGGAAACCGCGTGATATCAGATTCACTTGGGGATGGATTGAGTGAGTGAGGGAGTGTGGGCTCAGTGTTAGGCTGGCAGGGAGTGACTGTCCCCGACTTTCTCTGTGTTGTCGGTTGTCACTCCGTTCCTCTCGGAAATACCAGTCAGTGTTATCGCAGGAGGGCGGTGCATGTAAGATAAGACTCGGCCGCGCACCACCACCAAGTTGCCTCACTACCTCCTCGTGCCGAGTTTCCATGTTGGGAATTATTGCTACAGGGAACAAACTACTGGCTTAATGACCTCCCTATGGCCGGTAAACTATGCCCAGGGTGCGCGCGCAACTCCAGGTATCCAGTTGTACTTGTGTGTCCAAGCCCGTATGAGGTGACCCACTTCCACCACATTCGTTCCTTGGATGTGATCACGACCGCACGGGTCTGAAGCTCCGGCCTCACTGACTCACAGACTGACTCACTCGGCGAGCGGACGCGGTAGTGTAGAGGGGGTGTGCCTGTCTTCTACTGTATCTCCTCACAAAACCGTTGGTCTCTATCCACACGACGCGCGCGCACCTTTGCTAGCTGACGTATCATAACAACACGTGGGAGTCGCAGAAAACTTTAGTGCTGAGAAACTGTAAGTGGCAGCTGGGCGGTTGTAAAGTGTTGAGCGATTTTTGAAACTATTAGAGCCGGTTAGTGAGATACGGAGCTTGTGACTGACAAACAAGCTGAGTGCTGAACTGTTATCTGGGGTTTCAGTTGAAGGAGGCACCATGACACACAGGCACTACAAACTTCGCTGGGGTGACAACACCATCTTCGCCCTCACCCAAAACAACCAAACGGTCATCTACGACCTGACAGTCCCGCCGCGTCAAGAGAATGGCCACTATGTCACTTCTACCAACTACACCTACGGCTTCACCTTCAACTTTGAGGAGGAGTTTGAGGTGAAGGACTACACCGGGTGGATGATGGTTAACTGGTGGCATAGCATTATCTGGACCTCGATGTACGTCTCCTTCATCTTCGCTGGTCAATACTTTATGCGGGTGAGGCCTAAGTTTGAGCTGCGAGGAATACTGGTGGTGTGGAACATTTTCCTGGCGGTGTTCAGCACGATGGGGGCGCTAAGGACCGCACCTGAGATGGTCCACCTCCTTTATAACTACGGCCTCGGGTTCACCGTTTGCATCTCTGGAAAACCGTAAGTCGAATGAATTAATTTTAGTAAGGGTGTAGCTCCTGGCACCACCATTTAATACCTACATACTGAACGAACCACCCAAGCCTAACTTGACTATATACCTTCAGTAAGATCGCAAAGTTAATTTAGTTCGTTTTGTGTCGTCGTCATTGGTGTTTAAAGAGACTACAGTCCGAGTCGGAATCTTTCCCGAGGACCTGATTCTCAAATTGGTGGGAATTGTTTCAACACATTGACTCGTTCACTGTAAGTTGAATTTGATTTAAGAGACGGAGCTGGTCAGCTTACGGTAACACACAGGTAGTGATAACTTTATAAGGTGCCGAAATTACGCTTGAGGTTATTATTTCACATGGACAACAAAGGTCAACCTAAGATTATTTGGAAATTAGGAATCTGGTCTTTCCTTTTGAAGAAAGCTTTTCGAGTATATGTGACGATCGTCAATAAACTGGTGGTGTTGTGCAAATTGGCGACGTGATAAGTTCGCTATCTCGGGGCTTTACCACGGATTTTCAAACATCTTCAACTTTATCTAGACTTTCTTCGTGTGTCAGGAAAACCCAGAACGTTATAACATAGTGGACACTCCCAAACTCCATCTGATGTTCAGGAGAAATATAACACTGACGGCACTTAAGGAACATTCCACGTGTACAAGTATGTGTGTGGGAGGGCGGGAAAGTTTGTTTGAACAAATGACTGCCAGGCTCGGGGTTTGACTAGAGACTAGACTGTAAGCCAACGTGCAGGAGTTCCCGGAGAGGTGGTTGTGCTGCACCTCCACCATACCTGTTTTACCCCTATAAGGAGTGGGGGGGGGAGGTGTTGTGTAGGGACGGTCACTCAACCCGCCCGGCAGCTAAGGGATGTATTAACGTTTGGGGTGTGATTGCTGTTTCACTACACAGACACACATTATGCTGTTGTTCCCAGTGTCTAGCAAGAGGCCTTACTTGTGTGTTGAGCTTAAGCGCGGTCAGATGGAGCTTGCCTCGGCATAATTGACACTCAAGTCTAGTGGGTGACTCGTCTCTCCCATCTTGTATGTTATTATTACAGTACTTCCTGTGTTATTATTAGACCATTACCTGTTATTATTACAGTATTACTTGTGTTATTATACAATATTATCTATATGGTGTTACTGTAAGAAACTCAAAGATCTGGCACACTGTAGTGTCGATCGATATACAGGTATCTAATGTAAACATAGATTTGACAACACTGTAGAGTCGTCATAAAGTCTGGGCGAGAAGTACTTGACACGCGTTATGTATACACGAAGTATAAATTCATAAGCAGGTAATTTTTCGTGTACATTTTATAACGAACTCATCGATTTGGCAGCACTAAGTCGATCATATAACAAACTCAAACTTGATAACACTGTAATTTAGTCTTAAAATGAAATCCACTATACTTTGCGTGAAAAAAAAACCCACAAATATTATAACCCCGTTTTTGTGTACCAAATCCGTTGGAAATATCGATTATTTGATAAAATAATTCACAGGTATTGGGATCCACTTGGCGGGAAGAACTGTTTACAAGGGTGACGAGCCAACTTTTACGAACGCATGTTACCTAGAATATGTTAATTATTCTCAACATATGTTAAATGCAGGTGTTTAAATGGATCGAGTTGCCACATTCCACTTTATAGTAGATTTCTACAAGGCAATTTATTTTTTACAGTGTATATGAGTTATTAGTCGAACATATTACTTACTAAAGACAATAACTGAATATATCTACAATTGTTAGTATTGATATATGTTAAATACAGGTGGTAAATTAAGTTAAATTACCAAACCACAGGCCAATAAAAGACAGGAAGCATTATTTCTTTGTTTAAAGTAGTGACTAGTATTAGGCTACCAATTTCCGTCTATCAACTAAACGCCAAAATAACAGTAATATATGCACAGTGTTGGATCACCTGAAGATTAGGCACTCCAGTTTGTCACCTGATTGAACGCCCTAACGCTACCTAAAGGGGGGGGGGGTTATGTTAAACTCTAGGGTGGTTAACCATATGTCAAAAGTGGGGTGCCTAATCTTGAGGGGAAATGAAGTGGGGTGCCTGGTCGTGAGGTGAAATGAAGTGGGGTGCCTAGTCCTGAGGTGAAATGAAGTGGGGTGCCTAGTCCTGAGGTGAAATGAAGTGGTGTGCCTAGTCTTGAGGTGAAATGAAGTGGGGTGCCTGTTTGTGAGGTGAAATGAAGTGGGGTGCCTAGTCTTGAGGTGAAATGAAGTGGGGGTGCCTGTTTGTGAGGTGAAATGAAGTGGGGTGCCTAGTCTTGAGGTGAAATGAAGTGGGGTGCCTGTTTGTGAGGTGAAATGAAGTGGGGTGCCTAGTCTTGAGGTGAAATGAAGTGGGGTGCCTAGTCTTGAGGTGAAATGAAGTGGGGTGCCGAATCTTGAGGTGAAATGAAGTGGGGTGCCTAATCTTAAGGTGATCCTCGTTATTGTCCCCGTATTACACAGCCATCTTAAACCAGGTTGAATTACCACTCCCCGCCTCACTATAAATACCATAAAATAATAACACTTGTTTACTTAACGATAAACCAGCTCATCTCGCCTAATAATTAAAATACCCCAACGCTGCTGTGTGGTCGAGGGGAGGGTAGGTGAGAGTTGCTAAGTTAGGGTTGAGTTAAGGTGGTTAATATGAAGGTTAAGCTTGAGTTAAGGTGGTTAATATGAAGGTTAAGCTTGAGTTAAGGTGGTTAATATGAAGGTTAAGCTTGAGTGAAGGTGGTTAATATGAAGGTTAAGGTTGAGTGAAGGTGGTTAATATGAAGGTTAAGCTTGAGTTAAGGTGGTTAATATGAAGGTTGAGTATGATAAGTTGTTTGTGTTCAGGTGGTTAATATGAAGGTTAAGCTTGATGAGTTAGGGTGGTTAATATGAAGGTTAAGCTTGATGAGTTAGGGTGGTTAATATGAAGGTTAAGCTTGATGAATAAGAGTCGTTAATATGAAGGTTAAGCTGGATAACAGTAATGACAATAAGTAATAATAATAGCGATGATAATGATTCACTGTTGACAATTAACTACATAAACCCATTGGATCCCGGAGCGCGCCTGTGTGTATACGTCAGCTTGGTTGTCTCTTCACTGATTAACGAGTTCAGCGAAAGTTTAGATTGTGTTGATAAAAAGTAGTGTAGTGTGTGAAGGAGAGCCCACCCACTCAGCCAGCCATCACAAGCGTAATGTGTTCAGGAATGTTCAGGTGCTGGGGTTAGCTTAGTGATGTTTAGCTTATTTTGACGTTAGCTTGTTCAGTTTAGCTTTTCATATGATCGTAGTAGTTTTCTATGTATCAGTAAGTCATTAGGATCGAGGTGGATGAAGTATAAACGAGTGAAGCACTGGCCCATTGCACCTCAAGACCATTGGTTCTCTTGTTTTTGTTACGGTTTCTTGTAGCATTTTTTATTTTTATGGAGCCCGACTTTCACTTGTTTTTATGCCAGTAAAACTCTTAACAGCATCATGCTTCCCTCTCTCTCGCTCCTGTAAGGGGGAGGGGGGATGCCAGTCCTTGTGTCTTTTCTCTTGTTCGTCAGTTTCGCCCGTCCATTTATTCGTGTTTTCGTCCATTGCTGTGTATTCGTGAGTTTCACCCGTCTGCCTCCACCCCCCGTGTCTTCATCCGTTACTCTTGTGTGTTCATCAGTTTCTCCCGTTCGTTCCTCCCGTGTGACCATCTAAACATCATCTTAAAAGCTGTAGTTAGCACGAACATCTTAACCAGTTTTCGACGTAACCTGGTGTGTGGATATACCCCAAGAAAACCGGTTCAGTAATCGATATTTTACCCTCCTTCCTTCAGCCAGTTATGACCGGTTTCGTCCCTCGTAGCGGCTACTGGCTTGAACCTCAACAAGTGCATGCTATCACTATTTTTTTTTATTAATTGTCGTTCACTTTCACGTGTTTTTGTTGTTGTTTTTCGCGTTGTTTGGGTTTGTTTGGCTGCTGGGTTTCTTTTTGTTACGTTTTCGATGACTTTTTTCTTGTTATTTATTTGAAGTGTCTTGACACGTTGTCTTTGCGTTCTTGCTACCTCCCCCCCCTCCAAACTTGATGCAGAAAACGTTTTAGGTCGCCTGAAGAATCTCTCCCTCACCCACCTCCTCTTCCCCCACCCCCTCCTCCCCCTAATCAGGGGGGGCTATAGGGTGCTTCAGTAGACTTGGGCTGTGTAACCTTGATCTGACCTGTATAGCTCGAGGTTAGGTGGAGCGGATGCGTTCTTTAGTTAAAAGTTTGAACGAAAAGAAATTTAATGTTACGCACCATTTGAAATATTCACATCTAAAGTACAATAGCTAAAATAACTATCTGTGCATACTTTGTGGGAAAGAATGAGACCATGGACGATAAATTTTGGTATATGAGGGCTGTCACTAGTCACACGACCCCCACCTGCACAGAGAGTTATTTTAGTAGTTACTGTAGTGAGTGAATGTTTAAGAATCCGGTTCCAGAGTGTACGAACGAGCGCTTGAACCCGGATATATAGCATAATACATGAAAGTTTGTAATTGATGTGACTTTTCATTCGGTTGTCTCTCTCATAAGATATTGTCATAAGAAAGCGGCAGAGAAAGTATTTGATCATTTTGTAAACACAGTAGCAAAAAGTAGTTGATCCTTCATAGTAATTTTTTGTCTTAAATCCATTTGAGGATATAAACAAATATGTAAGAGTACTTTTACTTATCTTAGCGCATTCTTGTGATCACCTGAGAAATCTCCACCCCAGCTTATTTCACCTAAAGATTAACCGGCCGTCAAATATTTAGGGGACTAGGTTAGGTTAGGTGAAATTTGTTAGGGTGGTGATTCGTCTAGTGAGAGCACTTGTACTTGTTATCATAGTCATTTCCTGTCACTTTCTACAATGGTTTCATCATTCAACCTTATACATGTACTGGATATTTATATTAGGTACAGCTGGCTAAGTTAGGTTAGGTTAAAG